AGAGTACCTGTGATTGAGCATCAAAACGTCTCAATGGTTTTCACTGGTGATTGTTGTCAGGTATGGTGACTACATTTGTAGGTAGACACGGCAGCCAATTTGCCCACATCTGGATGCCACAAGTGAAAAACCTATTTAATCTGAGGTATTATTGCCTCAGAAACAGGGAGAAGCCCCATTCCATTTCTGAATGGTTCCACAGGATCCTTATTGTCCACCTGAACGGGGAGCAATGACATCAGTTTAACATTGCACCTGAGCGTTACCGGAGTGGAGGGTTAATCTGAATGATTCAAGTCCAAAGCCCTGACATGGCGCCTGATCGCATGAACTTCTGACTCATCCATGTCTTTTCAGTTGGCCGTTGAAGCCTGACTGGTTTGTGGGTGAACATGGCGGCTAAGTTACATACAGCAATAGCCCAGGCAGCGATAGTGTGAGTGACCAATTTTCTTTGGGGGATTGTTGGCCAGGAAACCAGGAGAGAAACGCGCTTTTCTTTTTGAATTGCACTTCATGATCTGTGGCGGACACCAGATGGTGTCGAGGAGCGCTTAACAGTCTGATGTGGAGATAAGGGGAGGGTGAAGGTGATCATAGGGACAGTCGAAGAGGTCTTCAAGTGCGACCTGAAAATAGGGAGAGTGTGGTGGTAAGGCGAAGGGATTTAGAGAGAGATAGTTCCACAGCTTCGGGGCACAGTGGCTGAAACCAGGTCCGTCGATGATGGGACATGAGGGTCCGGGGGACAAGGAGGAGACAGGAGACAGTCAAGCAGTGGCAGCAGGTTGCGGTGTCGAGAGAGAGCAGGTTGGAGAGATCGGGTGTTGCCACGGCGTGAAGGGGCTTAGATACGACAATGAGATGTTGAAGTCGATCCGGTCTGTGAAAAGGAGCCATTGGAGTTTGACAAGGATTGGAGCAATAGATGTATGGAGTTCAGTGCCCGTGAGAATGCGGGTGTCAGAATTATGCATTAGTTGAATTTTGTGAATAGTGGAGCTGGGATCAGCAGAGAGGAGGGAACTGGAGTAGGTGAGGCGAGGTGGGAAATGACAAACGTGTGGAGTTTGGCAGCTGTTGGAGCGAAGTTAGAACAGAGGTGGGCAATATGGCGGTAGTGGAGGAAAGTGGTCCTGGCCAGGGCAATCTGGCGGAGGTGGATGTGGAATTATTGGCTAAGGATCAAGTATGGGATACAAAGGAAAGTTGGAAATTGAATCTGAATCCATGTTGCGCACAGATTTGGTGAGCCTCAGGGCAAGATCAGATAGGGTCAGAAGGGCTAAACCGCTAGAGAGAAGACATCAACGAAAGCCAAGAGTATGGCTTCCATCTTGTCAACATTCAGTTGAAGGAAGTTTGTGCTTATCCAGTCCTTGACGTCTGTTGGACAAGCTAACAGAATATCAGCGGACTGGGAATAGCAGCTGGAGGAGAGAGAAGTAGATTTGTGTGTCATCCTCATACATGTGGAAGACCTAGGATTAATGTCTCATCTGAAGGACGCACTCCCACAAATACAGCAATACTCCAGCTGCCCCTGCCCGTCCCCCACCACCAACGCATTGGAGTGTCGGCTCAGACTGTGAGTTCAAAGTCCTAACGGGGGCGTAAACCCATGAGCTTCTGACTCAGAGGCGAGAGTGCTACCAACTAAGCCAGACTGACAAAACTAATCACATTGTTATTTTCTTGTCAAAGTTGTTTACCGGTAATTTAATACCCATATGTATAAACTATTCTATTCCCTGATAAAAGTTAACGGTGTTTATCCACTCGCCTGTAACTAACACCCATTAGTGTGCAACTGAACAGGTCTCAGTGGAGCATTCCTTTGCTTGATATAAGAGATATAAGAGAGTGTCTTTTGCACCACACAAGTCTTTGACGCTGTGTGTGAGTCAATGCCTCAGTGGAGTCAAGAACATGGCTTATGCATTAATTGCAACGACCGCTTTCATTTTTTACCATTTTCTGGTAGTGATAGGAATCCCTGGTAATACAATTTGTATCCTCAGAATGAAATACGGGAACTCTCTCCTCGCCGGCCTTCCCGCCACCTCCCTCCACAAGCTGCAGGTCATTCAGAACTCTGCAGCTCATGTACTGTCCCGCACCAGGCTTCGGGACCACATCACTGCCACCCTCGCTCGCCTCCACTGGCTCCCCATCCCCAGAGGATTGATTTCAAGATCCTCATCCTCACCTACAAGGCCATTCACGGCCTCGCTCCCTCCTACCTCTCCAACCTACTATCCCCTACCTACCTGCCCGTACCCTCCGTTCCTCTGGCTCCGGTCTGCTCCACGTCCCCCCCACCCAACCGCCCTACCATCGGTGGTCGGGCCTTCAGCCTCTCAGCCCCCAGGCTCTGGAACTCCATCCCCCAGTGCCTTCGCCGCTTCCTCCCTTTCCTCCTTCAAGGCCGGTCTCAAAACCTTTCTCTTTGACCGAGCCTTCAGCTCCCCTCTCGACTCTCTTCCCCTCCTCGCTCCCTCCCTTCCCTCCCCTCACCCTGACCATTTCCCCCCTCCTTGCTCCCTCCTTTCCCTCCCCTCACCCTGACCATTTCCCCCCTCCTCGCTCCCTCCCTTCCCTCCCCTCACCCTGACCATTTCCCCCCTGCTCGGGTCATGACCCAACTGTGCAGCGCCTTGGGACGTCCTCCTGACGTGAAAGGCGCTTTATAAATGGAATCTTGTTGTTGTTGTTGTTGTTGTAAATGTATATTGTTCGGTCGCTCCTTTCCTCAAACCACACTTACCTGCTTCCTGTCACCCACTCCAGCAGTCGCAATATCAGCAGGTGGACTTCCAGCCTAACTGCTCCCTATCCTCTGGAACTGCATCGGAGTACCTCCAACTCATTCCCTCATTCAGTTCATTCAAAATATGTCCCAAGTTCTACTTGATTGATTTCAATTTTGTTCATCTTTCCCCTCCACACCGCCAGTGATTCCCACCCGCAGCTCGGGTGCCAATCCAGAATTGTTGCATGCCTTGGGACACCCTCCAACGTGAAAGGGGCTGTATATGTAAAGATGCATTTTTTTTTCTGCGCATTTCCACCTAATCTTTGTCCACTGTTTCCCGAATTCTGTTTCCGACACACTTCACTCCCAACATTTTCTTACTGTACCGATGTCACCCTTTGTTGGGCTATGACTTTCTTGACTTACAATCCAACATAATTTATGCTTTCACAGCGCATTTCACATTGGAAGGACGTCTCATAGCATTTGATATGCTGTCTGAGCACCTGAGCTTGATGGAGGTAGGTGGGAACTGAAAGGAGTGGAGAGGGGAAATGATGACCGAAAGCGCAGTCAGACAAGTAGATCTTGAGGTTTGAATGAGGGAGAGAGGCAGAGGGATTGAGTTCCAGATGGTGGGAGCGAGAGGAGAATGGCTCAATTATGCGTTGGGCAGGGAGGTGGACATGAAGCCGGGTCGGTAATGCTGCAGGAAATAACAGAGAAAGAGATCATGGAGAGTTGACTTGGAGGGAATTTACTGTGAAGTGTACTGATTTGCGTATCTGTAGGTGATCACAATGGCCAATTTGCAGACAGTAATCTCTCATAACCAGGCGGGAAATAATTAATCTATTTGGGGGATTGACGGACATGATTCTGTGAGAGAGAAACTCTTTGTATTCACCAATAGTGTCACAGGATCTTGAGGTCCATGACAAGCTATGGGATCTTTGGTGTTTAAACAAGAGTTTAGTGTTTAGTGTTTATAATCTAAATTGGTGTAATAAGTTAAATCCAAAACAATACTTGCACTTTAGTTTTATGAGAAGATGATTCAGAATCGGATCTTATGAAATTTTGAGTGGGAATAAAAAAATAAATCCAGAAGCATATTTTAATAATTATAATAATAATAATATTAATAAAAATAATAATATTAATGCGGCAGCCAATTGTGTACAGCAGAGTACCACAAACAATTTTGGATTCATGGACCAAATTACCAAACGCCAGTTTAATAACAATTATAAAGAGACTTGTGGTCTACATTGACCAATGTTCAGATGGTCTTCAATAAGTTTCATTTATCAATGAAACTTTACATCTGCCTCAATTGGGAGAGGTTCATCCGATCCATCTGTGCAGCTCTGAATTCGGTGCATGAGGATGAAGCCCCAAAGTGCTTCAGAGTATTTTACTGTGAAGCTTAGAGGCTGTGTGTTTTGTTGGTGAATGTGACAGCCAATTGACCTGAGGTCCTAACTGTGCCTGTTAAGGTGGACGTCAACTACGGTGCTAATCAAAAAGAGAAGGAGGTCAGTCTCCCAATGTCCTGGCGGGCAATACCACAGATATAACTGATCATTCTTTTCATGGAGGTTTGTGGAACATTGTGTTGCAAAATACTTTGAAACACGTTGAGTCTTTCTCCTGATATGAAAAGATAAAGTACCAAACGTGAGAATGATGATGTTAATAATAATGAAATGATACCAACCCTTTGAATTGCTAGAGATTCTTTCTCTTTGGGAGAATGTCCCAAAGCACAGAACTGCACGAGGATATATTGACTCAGGAGAAAACTTATCTCACGACTCATGCAGCTGTGGAGTCGTTATGTCCACAGGCCTCTGCTTACCGAGCGTTAGGTAGGAACCCGGGTATTAATCGATTAGCAGATCACATATTTAGGGTAAATAATTTGTTTNAAAAAAGAGTGATTTCAATCACCAACTGTTTGTGGGACACTGCTGTGCGCCATTGGCTCTCATGTTTATGTCCACGAAATATACACTTTACAGGATATTCGTTGAAGTACTTTGAAACATCTCGAAGAAGTGTCAAAGTGCTATATCAAATGCAAGGATTATTCTTATTATATGTGTGTGACTTAGTGCAAACAATTAGAATATTAGATGTTCCTAATTTGTTCCTCTTCCTTACAGCCAACTTGCTGACAATTGCCATACTGCTCCGGGGAAGATGTGGCCTCTCTGAAGGTGTGTCCCTCTACCTCTTGGCTATGACGACGGCAGATTTACTGGTGCTGATTTTCCATGTTGTGATATATTTCATTTTCCGTTACTATTTCTACACATCGTTCCTGGAGTACACACCGGTATGTCGCTTAAGTGAAGCCACGAACTACATCCTGGTGGACTGCTCGGTGTGGCTGACGGTGGCCTTCACTGTGGACCGCTCTGTAGCAATCTGTTACCCAAAGCTCAAGGCTCAGTACTGCACACTGAGAACTGCACAGTTGATCACTGCCGCCCTGTGTGGGCTGAGCTGCCTGAAGAACATAGCCGTATACTTTAAGTTTGAACCTTACTACGTCATAGACAAAGTGCCCAGAGGTTGTAGCACAAAACCCACCTACTACACGTATCCAGGATGGTTAGCCTTCGATTGGCTTGACACTATTTTCTGTCCGCTCGCCCCCTATTTCCTGATAATGATAATTTTCTGACTGTCAGGCATGTGCTGGCAGCCAACAGGAAACGCAGGGCTCTGCTGGGACACAGCAGAAAGGAGGGCAGCAGTGACCCCGAGCTGCAGAGTCGGAGGAGATCCATTATTTTGCTCTTCGCCATCTCCGGGAGCTTTGTGCTGCTGTGGATGCCATACGTTGTCTTCTTCCTATACTGCAGGAGCACAAACTCTGACTATGAGCAACACCCATTCACTCACCCGCTGCAGATTGCTTCATTCACTGTGGATATGTTCCAGTTGCTCAGTTCCGGCACTAACACTTGCATTTACGCGTTGGCTCAGACGCGATTCAGGGAGGAGTTAATCAATGCCGTTAAGTACCCATTTAAATGGATCATGAATTTGTTTCGAAAATAAACTGCAAAATAAAATTGACTAATAGTGCAACTGTGAATCTGTCTGTGTGTTTTTGTTCGTGGCTATTTTATTGTGAAGTCAAAGATAAGAGCAATAATTTCAATATTTTAATGTTAAGATGAGTATCTCAGTCACGTTACAAGTTAATAATAATATTAATGCAAATAATAAACAGCTTGCATTTGATATAGCACTTTATCACTTTGCTGTGAAATTGAAAGGAGCTTCACAGGATATATTTTAAAGCGCAGTGACTATGTTCTGTTGGTGAACACACAGCCAAGTTTCACACAAGTATATCTCACAAAACACAACCATCTGTTACAACCGTATTGAGATTATTGATAGTGGCGCCAGTAGAAAAGGAGAGGCTGAAGGTTTCAGTAAGTAGATGGACAAATAGGTGGAGATGAAAGGTAAGGATGGGATCGAGGGAGCTGGTGGTGGATTTTGTATGGGTTATAATGGTTGTGAGAGAGGAGGAGGGGGACAGGTTTGAAGGTGTGGGAAGATGGATGGAGAGGGACCGGAGTGTCAGGGGGAGATGGGGATGGAGTTGCATTTAGAAGGGCAGAGGTAGCTTAACAAATGCCCTCAATTTTGCTGTTGGTTGGTAGTGGAGATGTCCCTCAGTTTGTCCTCGTCTTTCAAGATTACGATAGAGTAGAAGGACAATTTATCAAAGGCAATGCGGAGTGGCAAGTTTGAATGTGGTCCAGCCAGAGCTGCCGATGGACCATTAAATTATATTTGAAACAGGTACTTGTGTCGGCAAATACCTGTAGTTAGAAGGAGCGAGATGGCTGGTGCCTCAAGATTAATTGCCTGAGGAGGAGACGGTTTAGGAGGAGAGGGTGGGCCGGGGGGATAGGTTTGTCAAAGGCATTGAGAGTGGTGGAGAGGGTGCTATGGGGGACAGCAATCGAGGAGGGTAAATCATTACAGGAGGAAGCGCAGACAGGCATGAGCTCAGATGACTCCAGCAGAGAGGGAGTGGGAGGGAAAAAATTTCCATGGTTGTTAGGAGAAGGGTGTGGATTGAATAGTGGTGGGAGAGGGATTGAGCAGTTAAAGGAGTGAAGCAGTGCTCCGAGGTTGATTTGTCGGTGATGCTGGAGTCTGAGATGCTGAGGCCCGGAGCAGTTACTTGCTCAAGCGGGTGGCCATGGACGTGGTTGGCAAAGTGATGTAGAGAGAAAGGTTTTGAGAGGAGAAAGGAGAAGTTGGTGGAGATAGCGCTAAAGTGGATGAAGAGCAGGTTGAAATTGCCTAAGATGAGGAGGCATTCATAGCAGAGGCAGAAGAAAGCTGGAAGGGTGGGGATGTCAGAGAGTAAGGTGGTAGAGGTTTGGGGGGCGATCAATGAATAGAATTTTGTGGGAAAGTTTGGAGAGATGTAAGAGTGTAATGAGCTCAAAGGAGGGGAAGAAACCAGACGAATAAGGAGATAGGGCGAGTGAGGTCATTGTGGATAGGTCACGGGGTTTGGTGGAAGGTATAGCCCGGTCATGTGGACTCAGTCAGGGGGATGTTGTCACCTGGGTTTCTGGGATAGCGAGAATATCCGTGTTTCTATTAACAAGTAGGTCGTTGACATTGAGCGCTTTGTTGAAAAGGGAGCGGACACTTTGTAGGGCAAAGTGGAGGGGAGAGTTAGCCGAAGAATGTGTGAGATGAAAGGGATTGACAAGGAAGGTGGGATTGTGGGTAAGGGAGGAGAGATTTGCCCCTGGGTTCTGGGGCCAGTGGGCCTTGTGGCGATAAATGGGGATGGGATAGTCAGCGCGGCCGACTGATGGAGGACTCCCAGGCTGCAGGAAAGGGAGGTTGTGCGATGGCCAAGTGGGTATAGGAGGTGAGGAGGACAGCGGGAGAGGAGGACTGAATTGGAGTGATGCAAGAGGTAGGACAGGGATTGGGGTATTTTGGGCGAAAACAGCTCAGGTCAGGGGCAGCAGCCGAATCTCCCAAGGGGGGACTCGAGGCAAGGGCTGGGGCAGCATAGTCAGGGCATAGGCAAGGAGAGCGCAGGGGCTTGAGGAGAAAGCAAAGGGTGGGGAGAGGGGTAGGGCACTCACTGTAGTATTTACCAGGCTGCCCGACCTGGAAAATAACGCAGAGAATTTTAGGGAGAAAAGAGAAGAAGGGAAGGATAGAATAATAAACACTAGACTACACCTGGTTCTAGTCATTCAAAACTGGTTGCGGAAAAAAAATTACATGTGGAGTTTTGGTCGTTGGTTCAGGCTGGAGATGTTTAAATGGCATCGCCGCACCTGAACCTACTAATGGCCACGACCCCCATATCTGTTCCCACTCAACCCACCGGTGGCCGCACCTGTGCCTTATACTTTCCTGAATTAGGTAAGTAGGACGTGTCCCTCCAGGGAGAGAGTGTATATTTAATTCCAACAATCCCCGTGTAGATGGGATGCATGGGATTCTCTGTTTGATGCGGTTGCTATTAAACATGGTGATAGGTTTTCGCATGTGTCAGGCACTTGGTTGAGCTAAACAAAGTAAGACAATGTATGTTACACATCTTTCCCGGTCTTCTACTTAAGGATTTAACCATAAATTTAACTGTGGAGTATTGTATCTCGGTGGATAAAGCACTTGCCTCAAAAGGAAAGACCTGGGTTTGATACCTGGCAGCATGAAACCTTGGGCAAGTTTCCTTACTCCACAAGCCTGAAGATAATCCATCAAGAACAAAAAAGGAAATTTGTCACTTCAATCCATGACTGTTTGTGGGACACTGCTGTGGGCAATTGGCTGCCGGATACCAACAGCATAAATACAGTCAATTAACTTGAATTCAAGATCCTCATCCTCGCCTACAAGGCCATTCACGGCCTCGCTCCCTCCTACCTCTCCGACCTACTATTCACCTACTTACCTGCCCGTACCCTTCATTCCTCTGTCTCCGGACTGCTCCACATCCCCCGCCCCAACCGCCCGACCATCGGTGGCCGGGCCTTCAGCCTCTCAGCCCCGAGGTTCTGGAACTCTATCCCCCAGTGCCTTTGCCGCTTCCTCCCTTTCCTCCTTCAAGGCCGGTCTCAAGACCTTTCTCTTTGACCGTGACTTCAGCTCCCCTCTCAACTCTCTACCCCTTCCTCACTCCCTCCCTTCCCTCCCCTCACCCTGACCATCTCCCCCCTCCTCGCTTCCTCCTCACTTCCCTCCCCTCACCCTGACCATTTCCCCCCAATGCTCAGGTCCTGACCCAACTGTACAGCGCCTTGGGACGTCCTCCCGAATGTGTGGTGTGTCGGTGAATGTGACAGCCAATTGACCTGAGGTCCCAACTTTGCCTGTTCAAGTAGACGTCAAAGGTCCCACTGCGCTAATTAAAAAGAGAAGGGGATTTCTCTCCCAGTGTCCCGGCTGACAATACCCCAGAGAGAACTGATCACACCACACAGTCTCTAAAGTTTACATTGAAATACTTTGAAGCATTTTGAGAAGCGAATCCAGATGGAGGACAGATTGATCGGATGAAAGTCTCCAAATTGAGGCATTATAGTTTTATTAATATTATTATTAAAGTATGTTTTGGATTTACTTTTTTACTCCAAATTAAAATGCCCGACGGATAATTCAGCCATTCTCTCCATGTTCCCAACTCTCTGGAACTCCATCCCTCCTCCGACATTTTAAGCTCATGACCTATCTCTTTGACTGCGCTTTCTTTCGGTCATCATTTCCCCTCTCCGCTCTTTTCTCCCACCAACCTCCTTCCAGCTCAGGTGCCAGCATGTTAAATGCTATGAGACGTCCTCCCAATGTGTAAGATGCTGCGTAAGTGTAAACTATATTGCATTGTAAGTCAAGATAGTCACAGACCAACAGAGGGTGACATTGGCAGAGTAACAAAAAGTTGGAAGTGCAAGTGAGTTGGAAACACAATTAGGGAATCAGTGGCCATTGATTGGGTCAAAATGCACCGGGGAAAAATAATGCAATGCAACTTTACATGTACACAGCCCATTTCATGTTGGAGGGAGTTGGAAGATATTCAAAAATCCTGGCTTCGCACCATAGATGGGGCGGGTCCCTGGTTGGAGGGGAGAGTAAAGATGACTGATTATAATTGGAGATCGAAACTAAGTTGTGCATCGCTTCGGTGAATGTTAGGGAGAGATTGGATATGGTGAGATGGGCTGAACCACAGGAGAGAAGATGTTGATGGGAGCCAAAGAACATGGCTTCCATCTTGACAATGTTCATCTGAAGGAATGCTGACGACCTTTTTTTTTCAACTGTGCGTTTTGGCACCTTCCTCCCCCTCCCCTTGGCTCAGCCCCGAGATTACTGGATGACCTAGGTTTAATGTCTCAGGTGAAGGACGGCATTTCCACGAATAGAGCAATGCCCCATCTGCCCCTACGCTTCGCCTTCCAGCACGGCATTGCAGTGTCAGCTTAGACTGTGAGCTCAATGTCCTAATGGGGGCTTAACCGCATGAACTTTTGACTCAGAGGCGAGAGTGCTACCAACTAAGCCAAACTGACAACAAAATCACAATGTTATTTTCTTGTCAGAGATATTTACTGGTAGTTAAATACCCATATGAATAAACTATTCTCTTCGCTGATAAAAGTTAATGGTGTTTGTTCACTCACCTGTAACTAACACCAATTATTATGCAACTAAGTAGGTCTCAGCAGAGGATTCCTTTGGTTGATATAAGAGAGTGTATTTTATGCCCCACAAGTCATTGATGCTGTGAGAGTCATTTGCTCACTGGAGTCAAGAAGATGGCTTATGCATTAGTTGCAGAGATAGCTTTCATTTTTTACCATATTCTGGTAATGATAGGACTCCCTGGTAATACAGTTTGTATCTTCTGAATATTCCAACCTTACTGTTCGGCCGCTCCCTTTGCTCAAATGGCACTGGCCTGCTTCCTCTCCCCCGCTCCACCAGTCCCACCATCAATGAGTGGATTTCCAGCCTATCTGTCCCCTACTCTTTGGAACTCCATCAGAGTCCTT